AAATGTTGGTACTTATGGAGGAAGAGGTACAGTATAAAGAGAGAACTTACATGTTTAACAAGCCATATACATCTTGAATTGACACAGTAGAAAGATCAAATCGCAGTCTTCTCTGGACCTTGCTGCACGGAAGATGTAAGTGATGTGTTACCAGAAATATAAAATCTTATTTGGCGAGACTTTTCAAGGCACCCAAAGAAGGCTCCACAGTCGAAATGTTGTGTTTCTCTTCTTCTCTTTTCAGCATGAAGTAAACCTGTACTTGTTCCTTTGCAGCCTACGCATGCTGACGCAGCTCCCTACTTGAACTACGTCATTTGATATACATTTCCTGTTTACCAGCAATCCTCCCGAAGCTGCATGACCTAAGGTGGGTAAGGGGATGAGGTCATCTATCAACATAGTGGGTCTTCTTCCAGGTTCTCTGACCTGACCTCTGACAGTGTCTGGCCAGTGCTTTGACAATGTTGTCTGTCTGGGTCTCTCAGTCCTCCTCTGTCCTGTCTCTGACCGGTCACCAATTTAATGAAGTCCTGTGCCTGCTCACAGTGTCTCTCAACCAAGGGTCCTGCAACACAAGAGGGAAACATGCAGACTTCACACAGAAAGACATCTCCAGGACAGAATTGAACCCTGTACCAGGGAGCAGCAGAGCAGCAAAGCAGCACTGCTAACTGCCCCATGAAAGGTGACACTCTTCACAAACTATAAACACGATTTTAAAGGCCTGTTGGATTATAGCTCTCCAGCTGAAAGGTCTGCCATCCGTTTTTTATTGAAAAAAAGGCACCAAGATTATGAAGCTGTGCATTGGCCCTTTCAAATCTAGGCTTTTTAATTGTGTAAAAAAATGTTTAATTGGAAGCAATCCAACTGGCATTATGAGTGGAAATATTTTGCTAAAAGACTAAGAATATAGCGTGCAACTTTATGAATGCAGCAGTTACCCCCGAATAAGACTGCATATAGCATCAGGCTGAGAGAGTGCGATTTACTTTTTACTATATGAGAACATGATGAAACTTATAATGTTTTTAAACGTTTTAATTTTTTCTTCAGAATAACATTTTTTCTTGCTCTGGGGTCCGCTTAAAGCCACCCAGTTTCATAAGGCATTAGATTAACAGTGATTCCAATGTTTCTATTTTTTTTTATTTAATAACTGTCCGCGTGTAGCTCAAATAAGATCAAATTCAGGCCGTGTTCACCGGCCAGGTGGCGTAGCGGGCAAAGTCAGTGTTGCAGCTATTGAAAACCAGGCTCTAA